ACTTCCCCTGTTATTATGTCCCTTTTCCCTCCCACTTGTAAGCCTAGCCCTCACCAAAATATCCTTAAGATTCTTACACCTCCTAAAAGCAACTACTGGTGGCACAGGAAACACCTCCTTGTGCTCTTCTGAACCAGTGAGCAAGGTATGGTGTTTCCTGGCAATGTTCCCCAAACCATTAAGTGCCGGATGGTATGTAGTCACGAGTGGAACCCTGTCAGCCCTCCCTTCGTTGGTTTTCCTACTTCCCGCTTTTTCCAGAAGAGTCTCCCTATCTAGCCTACGTACCCTATCTATTTGTTGATTAACAAGGGACTCTTCATACCCCCTATCCTTAAGCCATCCAGCGAGTTTACCTACATGTTCCTTAAACTGGCGATCATCTGAGCAAATCCTACGTTACCTAAGAGCCTGACTATAGGGGATCGCCTTCTTTGTATGCCAAGGGTGACAAGACTTCTTATGTAAGAACTGATGGGTATCAGTTGGCTTACAAAATAAGTCTGTCATAAGGACTCCCCCCTCTCCTACTTTTACCGTGACATCTAAGAAACTAATAGATTCTGTAGAATGTTCACTGGTAAACTTAATTGTGTCGTGGCTACTGTTGAGATGGTCAATGAATAACTTCAGCCTATTCTCCCCGTGTGTCCAGATAAAGAAAATATCATCGATAAATCTCATCCAGACAAGGGGCTTGTCGGCGAAGGTATCCATCAACCTCTCCTCTAACCTAGTCATAAAAAGATTGGCATAGGCCGGAGCGAACTTCGTGCCTATAGCCGTACCTAACTTCTGCTTATAAAACCTATCATTAAATTCAAAATAGTTATTCTCCAATACTAAGGAAGCGAGCCCAGCTAATGTGTCAGTAGCCACGCCTGGATTTTCCCGTCTATCCAGCGCCTCCCTTACGGCCTCTAAACCTTCCTCGTGTGGAATGCTAGGATAGAGTCCCACAACATCAACAGTGCATAAAATTGCCCCTTCTGGTATAGTTCCTATACTTCCTATCCTAGATAAAAAATGGTTAGTATCTTTAACATAAGACCTACTTTGGCTAACCAACGGGTTGAGGTGGTAGTCTAGATATTCTGAAACATGTTCGGTTAATGTACCACAATTTGAAATGACTGGACGCCCCTTTACATTACTAAGACCCTTATGAATCTTAGGCAACAAATAAAATCTACCTAACCTAGGATTGTTAACTTCTAAATAGCCAGCCACTTCATCTAACGCCGGGTCCGCCTCCCTTATTTCTTTTAACTTATCATTTATGGTCTTACCCAGTTCTACAGAGGGATCCACCTCAACCTCTTCATATACCTGCCTATCGTCTAATTGTCGGTTAGCCTCCATTATATAGTCCCCCCGATCCCAAACTACAACCGCTGAACCCTTATCTGCTTCTTTTATAATTATGTCCTTATCACATTTAAGCTTATCGAGTGAAGAGAGTTCTGAAGGAGAGAGATTACTAAAATTCTTACCCTCCGGTGAGACAGACAGCACCTCATTCTCCACCAGCGAAAGATAGTTCTCAAGAACAAGGTTATTCTTAGGGGGCTGCCAGTTAGACCTATTTTTAAATAACTGTTTTTCTGTCTTATTGTTGTCCTTAAAATGCCATTTTAACCTCATTCTTCGTTTGAACTCCTCAAGGTCCGCTCTCAGTTCCGCTTTGTCTATTTCCTTTGGTGTTGGGCAAAACTTGAGGCCTTTGGATAGCAGAGAAACATCATCTTCCGACAGCTCCTTCTTCGAAAGGTTGACAACATTTGTGCTGACAAACCTACCCGTAATGCGTCCCTCCTCTGACAGCCAATTCATTTCCCCAACACCAATCCTCAATGGCGCTGAATCAGTTGATAATGATCCTTCGTTGACTGACGCCGGGGCCTTGGACGGCGGCAAGTCATTCCCATCAAATATATGATGCTCATGGTGTTCGGTTGTCCTGAGAAAACCAACGTTATCCTCTCGAAACTCTTTCCCATTTCTCGCCAAAATGCTAATAAGTTTACGTCGTCTTTTCTGGTAAAGTTGATTCCATTTAATCCGCAGTTGCTCCTGTACAGGGGCCAACTCTTCCTTTGTCAGACTAGCGCGTACTGCAGTTAGGTGGTGAAAAGCCTTCTCTTTTTCTCCGATCAACAATTCCCGATACTGTATGACAAGTAAGACCAATAACTGCGATTGTGCAGATTCCAGAACATTGTCCCATGACTCTTGAAACTCCAACGACGGCGTTCCTACTAGTGATGGCACCTTCTTTAATAGTAATCCGACAGGAATAAAATTGCACTCTTTGCAACTTTCCAAAAAATTCCGATGGTGTTCCAGTTTGATGAGATTAGTAAATATGTTAATGATTGATAAAATACGCTCCATTGATTGCCCCAATTAGCTATTCCTAGCAAACTGTATATATATGTATTCAAAAGCTCATAATGTAAAATGTTTAAACGATAGTATATAGAATCAAAGAAAACACTTTCGTAAGAAGTTTCGCTTTCGCTTCATCAGTAATAACTTTACAAAATCAGACGAGCCTACTTATCAACCTAAATTACAATAGAACACTACAATACAATAGAAACTTAAGGGGCACCTGCCTAATACAGTACATATTGTCAAATGTGTTAGAACGCATTTCATTCTATATACTATCGTTTAAACATTTTTACATTATGAGCTTTTGTATACATATATATATATATATAGAGACGCTTTCCCGTAACTTTTTTGCTATGCAAGGCATGCTCGTTTCCCTGTAATTAGGGTACCGATTTCTATTGCTTGCGGCCACGAAATGATGTTGACTCAACGTCATTACGAAGTCAACGATGCAAAAAAGTATTGTACCATTTCCAGAAGGGAAGTTGGCACGGCTTTTCGCGAAAACAATCAATCCTTTGTGGCATAATGTGATTTAAGAAACGGATATAGTGGTAATAAAAGTTTTGATTGGTAAATGTGTATTGCTATTGTCAATTTTGCCATTGTTTTTCTTCGCATATCAGAGCCCTGTGCTCCTACCATGAAGATACCTCAGCACGTACTCTAGCGCTCCAACGTGCCTTAAAAGCTGTGCACTTCGGGACTGAAAAGATCTTACAAATCGTGTCACCTAAACTAATACCTAGCAACGAAATAACACCACAATTTCCAATTAAAGCAATTTCAAATCCTAAAAGCAAGTAAGCAAAGAATAACTATCTTTGTCGCAACAAACAACTATATTTCGCGGCTCGGCGTTTCTGCCCTCAGTTGCTGTAGGTGAAAGGTTCAAAGATCATCGCATCCGTCAATATTGAAAACTTTATAACGGTTTCCATTCCAAAAAGCAACTCGAGTAGAAAGTATAACTACCCATGGGTGTAGCGGATGATATGAAGCTACCTACAAAGCATCAAAAGAGTACCGGCATTCTTCGTACACAGCGACAGGACACCTATGTTTATGTACGAAGAATGAGTACATGAAGGGGGGATTTTCGTCGGCTCGATGATTATATAAATATAGAGATACTCAATAAAAAAACAATTTGGTTGACGTTTCGCTATAAGCTTCTTCAGAATCATACCATATATATATATATATAAATATATTGTGGAAAGAATTTTCCTCCTGTCAGCATTTGCCTTATGATTATATATATATATATGTAGAATTGTTGCCAATTGTGTAACAATGGATCGGCATTTTGATGAGTTCAACAATGGACACATAGAAGCCGAATTCAAAGGCCTGAGACAATCGAACCAATGCAGGCATTGAATGCCAAAATCAAAGGATTTTCCCAATTTTCCCAAACGAACAATCGAGAATCGTGAGTTTCCCGATTAAGTAGGCAATTGAGGTTCGCTAATCGACACTTAGGTCGATAATCGTGCTATTAAATTGGGTTTGGCTGCTAGCGTGAGATCCCCTTTTGTGGTCAGTGGTCATCCTCTTCGATTTGACCATTCGCCTTTGGCTTTGCTCGTGACGTTGTGCAGTTATAATTGGTTCTGCACGTGCATGTTGAACGGTGGCCAGAATAGATCAGAACCTTCTCGTAATTGAGAATGGTGGTTTCATCCTGTCAAGCGTCAACATAATTAGACGTATTTGCAATTTGCTATGAAGAAAGTGCGGGAATATGCGATTTCACGTTTCACGAGTTTCTGCAAGAATTAACTTTCACGCATGAGACCTGGAAAGGAACTCGGGACATCTGAAGCAAGGGCGGGAAATTCGAATATTGTGCAAGTTTTACGAACCTGTTGAGTTTTTAGCATGTTTTGCAAAGTTGGCGAAAGTTATTCGAAGGTTTCCAGGCTATGCAAAATTGTCGCAAAATGCTTGCAGGTACTTTTCAATTTTCTCTAGGGTTGATGGGGTGTTGATCCAAAATTCATTCGAAATTCTTGAGACCCCGTTGGATAAGGTAGTTTGGTGTTGGAAAAACATAGAAACAATGGAAATTTGTTAAAAGTCTGAGGTCAGATCAACAGTTACGAGAATGACCAATTAATAATCTTTGGATCTGTGACTACATTTCTTAAAACAACGGCTCTTTAATTTGGAGGGGTTTCCTCTGAGGCGTTTGTTGTTTCTTCCGACAGAGTTTGGCAAAATGGCAAATAAAACCATATGAAGGGCAAACTGCATATTTTGCTGGGCATGGTTTGTTTCTGTGTGGATAACTGAACCCACATTTGTAACAGGTATTCTCTGTACGGATTTCTTTTACGTGCAGCTCTTGGAAACTTTCTTCCATACCTTTCTTCCATACCATAAAATAATAATAGTAACAACAATAATTATAATAATAATAACTACTACAGTTCTATTTGGTAGGAAAACAAATAATCTCACGCTTCGACGAATAAAACTTTATCTAGATACGCAAAATCGTTTTCTGTTATTGTTCTCATTCCTTGAATAATTCCGTTTGTTTTGTTTATAAGGGAGCTTTAAAATATTAAATTTTCAATCGTTTCTCTTTTCAGGTAGTGGATTATCAACCTGTGTAAGAAATTACGAGAAAGTTGGTTGTTATGACGAGTATAACGCAGATGTGAAGGACCTCGTTGTCTATGACCGTTTCGGGATCAAGTGGGCCGATATTGCTGGATATATGCACCAGTAAGTGAAATTTCATTTCACTTTCATTTTAAGTTCCTTATTAACAGTAGCCCCGTCAATCTCAGCAGATTGCTTTTCGGGGGGCCGAGACAAACACTTCATGTAATACCTTTAAAGCTACACAGTTTGTTACAAATAATTACAAATAGTTGGCATGGATAATTAAAGATAGCAGTTAAGATACATTTACTTCCACACTGTTGAGTAATTTGAGTGGCAATCAATTAATGAGATAATAAATTGAGAAACTGTTACAATGGTCAATGAATCCATGAACTGTCTTGCACCCAGTTACCATTTCAAACTATTTGCAAAAAAATTATTCAAGAGATTAACTTACGAAATTCAAATACTGATTTATATATTCCACTCATGAAGACAATGAATGGTCCGAAAGCTTTTCGTATCATGGTGCTCACATGTGGAATCATTTAAAACCGAGTTCGTAAAAGACTAGTAGTTTCCTTCTAAACAACACCGTTTTTTATTCAAATTTTCTGTGTGATGATTTATGGTGTAGAACGTTTGTTTCAAACTTCTCAATCGTTAAAAAACACAAAAAGGAGCGGAGGGGCGATGAATTCAGCTCCCGATTGTGCTGAATGCATAAATGGGTTCCTGAATTAATCTTTGCTATTTTAATTTTAAATATGCCTGTAAATATATAATTTAATTATATATAGTTTTATCACTTGCAAACTTTTACTTGAAAACTTAGCAATGTTTTTTTCTTTTTTGGAAAACAAATTTTTATGTTGATGAATCTTTTTCTATTATATTTTAATTTTAGCAGGTATTATTTAGCTTCAATTAAGTGCTTGTTAAATAAAAATAGATCTTAGCAGAGAAAAGATTATGAAATAGCAGAAGTCAAGTGCTGCAAAATCTACTTAGATGTTGTTTTAAGCCAATTTGGAGGGTGTGGTAGCAAAAAACTTCCCGAGGAAGTATCCCCTCCCCCGGAATCTCTTCCCCTTTCCATCGGTAATTGTCTTCCCTTTCGCCTTAACATAGCTCCTGCATGCCATTTCATTTTCAGACTCCAAAATATTGAAAATATGAGCTATTAAATCCAAGTTTAAGGCCCTTATACTTTGAAATTTGTGGCATGCATGTATACTTTCCATTTAAAACGAAAAGATGGGTAATCCATTGACACTTTACGAGTTTTTACCATCTGAATTCTTAAATTTTTTATTCTTCATTGATCCTTTAAGCAATTTATCGCATTAAGAATTTGCCTGGATTTTGGAATAAATATCATTGTACGACGGTTCCCTGAAAATGTTTTTAAAAGGGTTCCGAAGTGTTTTGTTACACCACTGCCCTTATGATAAACATTTTCTTTAGAGCTTTGGTTATCCATGGGCAGAGGGCATGTTTTCCATAAATAAGTGAATACATAGACTGAACAACCAGGGGCGGACTGGCTCCAAATTTAGGGCCTGGGCCATTTCGTCGAGAAAGGGCTACGAAAATCAAAAATATGTTTACTGGTATTCCCAAAGTTGCTTGTTGCATAACTTTTTTATACTTTTTTTATACTTAAAACGTTATTGGAATATTGCTATCAATTCTAATTAGTAACCACCAAGGATGTAGGCGTAGGTGTAAAAGATTTACAAGTGGGATCTACAATCCTTATTCCAGGTCAGTACCATTTTCACTGAAAATATAATTCTGACGTAGGATAAGAGATGAAGTAAAATCATGACATTGCGGAAAAAATTATTGTCTTCTAGCTGAAGGACTTTTAAAAAGGGGGGGGGGGCTCAGTGATAAAAAATGGCAAATGGTACTTAGAGGGGTCACCTTTCTCAATCTGATACTCAGGGTAGAACTTAATGAAATATTTAATTTATTCAAGAAATATCTAAGCTATTCAAGAAGATCTTGATATGTAATTCTCTAGTTAAAACATAATAGGGTTTCATGTTTTTTCGCTTGGCCGGCGAAACCGGGGGGCCGGGGGGCCATGCCCCCCACTTTTCTGCAGAGCTAAAAAGATATTTTAGGCAAAAGTGGTATTAAATGTAGTAAATGATTCTGTAAGTAACTGTGCCTGATATTCTCTCAAATGTATCCTTAGCTTTACCTAGGTTGCTATGTCTTTAACATAGAAGACATACATAAAATTGAAGATGGGAATTAGATCGAAGAAATCGGTCATTGTCTAAGTTTTATAATGAGTAAGAGCTTGGCTTAGCAAATAGATCGAGAAACCTACAATCCTGGCCAAAAGGTTAGTGGACCACTAAAATTGCAACTTGGCCCCAAAAATATTATCAAACCCCCCTCTGCAGCAATGTTGGTTTTTTCTTAAGTACCCAAGTAACAGCAATCGAAAATAGTAGAAATAAGCGTATCAACATTGACAATGGGGGGCGGGAAGGGAACTTTTCCAAAAATACTACAATTTGCTTTTACTTTTTTGAGGATATGAGAAATAAAGTATGGGCAGATTTGTTCTTAAAAAGTATCATCAAGAAAACTTCAGAGTTTGGTCGTTTGGATAATCCATCCCTACTAAGAAAGAGAAAATATCGACGGAATTATAAATTCTATTTAAACTCATTTTGACAAGCCCAGTTTGGAGGATTTTGCAAAAATCAGATGTTTTCTTTTGTTGATATTTCAACGATAATGTTTTTTATTAATCCCTGTTTCATTTATTTTTCTCCCCCGTCTTATTTTGGCCACTTTTAAAATCTAAAAAAAGGTTTCATTACGCGCTATATGATAGTGGTTATTCTAAAACTTTGCAAATTTTTTTATATTCAAGTCAACATCACAGTAGCCGCGACTATGCGACACCTTCAGTCAAAATTTATTTGAGATAAAATTTCTGGCCATCCCTAAGACACCATGATTCTAAAATTTTTCCTCCCCGCCAACCATGGTGGCGGCCTTTCCTAAGCCCTTTCAAGATTCTGATACTTGGGCCCCTTCACTTTCAAATACGTTTCGCCGGTCATGTCATGTTCCGATCATTGGTTGAGCAGCCAGGTTAATTTATTGTTTGCATGGATAAAAATATAGCTTTTTTTATACCTGCCTTACGAAATATTGTCAGATCAAGCTGCGCTTATAAAAATCTTCAAACACAATTTTCGCAAGTTATTGGAAGGGGGCATTGTCCCCCGCCCACAGTGTCTACGGGCCTGTTATTTTGCAAAGTTTGTCAGGGCAAATCTCACATGGTTTTCGTCACATCGGCAAATTTTCGAATCAAAAACTAGTACAGTTAGACCACGCCAATGCCAAAATTTTGCCGAAGAAATGCACCAAAATTTGGCCAAAGTACCGAAGTTTTATGCCTAAGATCTTTGGTGAATTATTTATGTTTTATACTGGAGGAATGTATGGATGTACTGGAGCAAAAATTTTGTCAGATCTGTAGGGGTTGAGCCTTTCTGCTGTTTTGATCTATACTCTTCAATTTATTTGGTTAGCATCAAAATAATGTACCTTCCTAGTAATTGAGTCACAAAAATAGTAATGTCCTTACCACCTCAACCTATGATTAAATGAAAGCATTTAAACTGATGGCCCGAAAGGAAAATTTATCAGATTTTGGAACTTCTAGTTAAGAATCGTATTATTGCATTAGGGACGGTGAGCTCTGGGCCTAGGATTCTCCTTTCTTACATGGGGCCCCAAAATTTGAAAAATGCTTTTTCAGTGCTAAGATACCTCAAAGTGATATTTTTATTTTTTTTGTATCCACTTATATTGAGAGCGTCTCGGTGTTATGGCAACAGAAGAGGGCCCCTTCTAAATAATAGCCCGACCGGCCAGTCCGCCCCTGTGAACAACAGTTTGCTTGTACGATTTTATCGATATAGTGTAGCTGTAGAGGTATATACCATTACTTAGATTAAAAAGTACATTTCTGCAGATATAGCGCGTGTAGAACGTGTGTGTGTGATTTGAATTAATTGTGATTTTAAGTGTATTACACAAAATTTAGCGTGAGTCACCCAATTTCCAAGATTTGTGTGCCTTTGTAGGACTAGAACGGTGACAAGCAGGGTTGCCAGATGCTTGGAATGGTTGGCGGCCAAATACTTTACGTTTGACGGCCAAATTCGGCCAGCCAAACAAAATATACAAAAAAGCTATGTTTTTGCTAGTTTTCTGCCATCTTTTACTTTGTTTCTTGATTAGCTATTTGCAACTTTAAATTATTTTATCAACATGTTGAATATTTTCTATGCTAAAGTTGTCGTTTTCTTTGTATTTTTGTGGCTTTAACATGCGGCCAAAATTCAGCCAACTTTTGCTTTTTAGGCCAAGTTAATTTTTGACGGCCAACAACATTGAAAACGGCCAGAATAGAGCAATTTGGCCGTCAAAACGGCCAAATGGCAACCCTGGTGACAAGACTAATCTTCCAGTGTTTTCAGGGACGCCGGAGAGGGGGGCAGGGGGTAGCAAGCGCCCCTCCTGTCTTTTAGTTGGGGGAGCAGGGGGAGCAAGAGTGCCCTTTATAGAAGAACTTTGACTTTTTTACCAATGCTTGACCTGGCTTTAAAGGCCTCTTTGAAGCCTGTCAACATTAATTTGAAGCATTTATGACTGAGCAGATGACCCACGAATACAACATCTTGATGTTGCAAAGCCTGACAGCTACCAGATGGACAACTCGAGTAAAGGCCGCCAATACAATCTTTGAGAAAACAGCGGAGGTGAGAGAAACCTTACAATCTCTCACAACTGACCAATCAATCAGCGGAGATACCAAGGCAATAATTCAACATTTGCTGACAGGGGCGTAACTTGGCCAATAGGTTTATGAGGGGGGGGGGGGGGTGAAAAGGGTTTCTGCCCTGAGAAAATGAGTGGTGCCCTGCAGACCTCGTAGCAAAGGTTTGTCTATAGGTTACTAGTGAAAGCTTTATCAGTGTAAATTTGCCTTTACCAAGAACAAACTTCTAAGCAAAGAAAACAAACTTGAAACTTCATTGCCTATGAAATATCTATTTTATTACGTGAGCGTA